AGTCCCCGCGGTCCATCCACCGCACCCAGCCCCACCTGGGGCACGCCTCCCCTCGAGCGCTGTGTGTGTCCCTTTAAGAGTCTCCTCTCGACGTCCCACGTGTGTGATCAGCTGATGGTGACGCTGCGGGGAGAGCGCTCCCCAGTTCCTGAAACATCGGGCGCTGCGGGCTCCACGGGCTCAGGGCAGGGCAGGGCTGTCCCGTGCTCCTCCCCCGCCGAGTCTTCTCTGCCCGTCGCGGGGAGAAGCGTTAGTCTGGGCAGCAGGGGAGGGCGGGTAGCAGTGACAGCTCCAGATACCCGCCCTCTGCCCGGGAAGGCGGTGCTGGGGGGACCTTCCTGCCAGAGACCCGACCCGACCCTACCCCACCCCTACTCTGCTGGGACCATCCTGCCAGGAACGGAGCCCCCTGCACCCCTCCTCTCAGCAGCAATTACAGAGACCACCCACCGCGCTGGGACCTTCCTGCTAGCTGCAGAGATCTCACCCCACCCTACACCCCTGGGACCCCCCTGCTCAGCAGCAGTACCAGAGTCCACTGCACCTTCCTGCTGGTAGCAGGGACCCTTCGTGTCTCCGCTGGGATCTCCCTAGCAGGGGTAACAGAGACCTTCCTGATACCCAGGGAAACTTTCTCCCCCCTTTGCACCCCAAAGGCTTTCCTGCAAAGAACGTTAGAGACGCCACGCTTCAGAGACCCGTTAGCAGCGGCAGCAGAGACCTTCCAACCAAAACTCCTCCTGAATAGCAGCAGCAGACCCACTCAGCCCTTTGTAATCCTGAGACGTTCTGGCAAGAGAGACCCACTCCCACCGAAATCCATCCGAGAGGAGCAGAGAACGCCGATCGACAACAGATCCTCTCTATTCACCAGTACATGGATTATCTGGTACGTATTGGCTGTAAATTGTCTGCTCCCCCCAACTTGCTCTCCTTTCTTTCCTGTCTTGCATCCTCATGGTAAATTGGCTCAGCCACACCTGTTATAGAATACTCTTATTATAATAACATGTACATAGAAAATTCCATTTGTTGCTACATGGTGTCTTAAAGGCTTGTATTGGAGACTGGTGGAACCCTAAAGTGAGTATGTAAAAGAAAAACTTAAATCAGCTCTCAGGGCAGCTTTACAACATTGGAGAAAGATCATACTTTATCAGGCATAGAATTACCCCACAGAGCCTTCTCTGGATTATTGACACTGTATTAAAAGTGTGCGTGTGTCTGGGAACATAGTGTACACACACACCACACACACACACACTTTTAATACAGTGTCAATAATCCAGAGAAGGCTCTGTGGGGTAATTCTATGCCTGATAAAGTTTGATCTAAGTATGATTTTTCTCCAATGTTGTAATCCGCTCTAAGGGCGCACACATGTCTAGCTGTGTGTGTGTGTGTCTGGAGAACTTTTCCAATAAGTCCTTGCGTGAGTTCCTGATTGGGAAATGGGAGTATTTCTCTTGTTCGATCTTTATCACTTTTTTACAGAACTATTAAAGGCCAATAAACCAGAATGGTTTTGCTAAAGTGCTCTGTATCCTCACTCATTTGGCTGTTATTAGATCTCTAAAGTTATGGCCTAGGTCAGTGTTTTTTTCCTAAATGCATTAACATAGGATAGGGTTGAATGAACTAAATTGTAACCTTGGGCATGACCAGTACTGCACCTGAGTAGTTTGGTATTAACAAGTAACTTTAATGTTGCTTAATGAATGTTGCCCTTATTTGTCTGCAGAGATTGTATCACAGGTGTGTACTTCAGGCCAGGGTGGTAGTTAACTTGTTCATACTCTAATGTATGGGTTGCTACTAAGAAAATGTACCAAATGTCTAGGCTGTGTAGTGAGCTGGATAGTCACATTTTAGTGTGATTCCTGCTTAACTGATTTCTTAAATTTAAAATGGGAGACTAATGAACATTCTCTCTCAATTCAACTCAAAGTTTCATATTTTTTTTCAAGGTGTTATGGTTTTACTTTTTGTTTACTAGCAAACATTTTAAATGAAAGGCAGCTCTCTTCTTGCCATCCCATCTAGTAGGAAGATGTTAGTGTCCCATGAGATGAAGGAGGTTTTTTTTTCTTGGCATTTGAAGCTCTAATCTTTATCTAGTTCTTTCTTACACATGACACACACAATTGTGAGTTTTGGAGATTCTTTTTGACTAGTGAGCAAGACCTCTCTGTCCTTTGTGTTGCAAGTTTGCACCATTGAAATGAAAGCAGCATGTAACAGCTGACCTGGTTTTCTCTCCCCCCACCCTCTGCTAATGGAGCTACTTAGAAAACAAATGAAAACAATATATTCAACACTTACCTAAATGTTGGGTTTGAATACATGCAGCTTGGATTTATTTTGGAGTGGAAATGCATTATTTAAAAACTTCATGTTTATAAGTTGTATGCTAGGCTTGAGTCAGGAAGGGAGAGCTCTGCATAATTGAAATGGTAGGTAAATTTCTCTTTAAGAACCTAGTTAATAGAATACTGACAGTGAACTTGCTGTGTCCCAAGTGCAGCCTTGCAATGGCTTCTCAAGAGCCTGGAGCAGTTTACATTTTCCTCCATCAGCTTATGTCCAGATGAAACTAGCTATCTCATGGACTTTTCACAGCAAAAGCTAACCTGCAAGACTGCTATGGAAATTCTGTGGAACATACATCATTGTGAGATTAATAAAGTTTAATGAATTTTGAAAACTGGTAGTGTGTTTGCAAACTAATGTAGGGTTGTGGGGAGAGCAGCTTTTAAAAAAGAAATATAAATGCACTCTTGTACCTTTTTCCTGTTACTTATGCTCCAGCCAGGCTGGTTGCCTAGCTCAGTGGTTCTCAACCTCTCCAGACTATTGTACCCCTTTCAGGAGTCTTTGTCTTGTGTACCTCCAAATTTCACCTCGGTTAAAAATGACTTGCTTACAAAATTAGACATACAAATACAAAAGTTTCATAGCATACTATTACAAAAAATTACTGACTCTCATTTTTACCATATAATTATAAAATAAATCAATTGGAATATAAATGTTGTACTTATATTTTATTGTATAGTATATAGATCAGTATAAACAAGTCATTGTCTGTAGGAAATTTTAGTTTGTACTGTCTTCACTAGTGATTTTATGTAGCCTGCAGTAAAACTAGACAAATATCTATATGAATTGATGTACCCCATGGAAGACCTCTGTGTACCCTCCAGGTTTATACGTACCCCTGGTTGAGAATACTGGCCTAGCTGCTCCCTTTGTCCATTCCTAACTTCATGCCTTCTTTCAAGCAGCCCAGCATGCTTGGAATGATGTTTCACTTACAATATGACAAACTTCCTCTTGCTTTATTTCTTAAGAGAAGTCTTTTGCATATCTTTTGTGAAACGGTCCTGTCGTTTTTATTTCATTTGGTACTGTAACTGCAAGAGTTTTTTGGAATGTAGCCTCTTCAAGACAGAATCTTGATTGATCGTCACAATTCACCTATTGTACACTGCCTTGTACGTTTGCTGCACTATACAAAATTTGGGGGTTTGGACTACACGTCCCTACTTCAACCAGGTTGGGTTTGTTGTAGGTGGGGAGAGCAGCATTCAGAGCTCAAATCCAAAAACTGATCCGGTGTTGACATGGGCCAGTCTCTAAGCTGCCTTCATTTAGGACCAGAGAACATTAACTACTGATGTGACCATAATTTTCACAGCAGAGAAAGATGTCCCCCCTTTTCTTAGAGTGAGAATAGTTGCACTATTCAGTACCAACAGTTTCAAACAAACAGTTTTTCAAAATAAAGGAATAAAAGGTTGAATTTGTGTTCATATCTGTGTGAAACTCTGAAACAAGAACAAATTCACTCTGGCAGTTACAGTATGTTGCTTTCAGATGCATACAGTGTATTTTTTTTAATCTAGCCTTCATTTTCTTCCTCCCAAAAAAGCTTGTGCATTGAGATGTGAGTTTTAGTTTGGCTGACAACTTATTTCTTAGCTTTTATCTTTTCTGCCTC